CCACTCAATCCTGATGACTCAGGCACTGCATAAGTGAAGTGAATTATGAGTTTAATTTCAGTCAATTGACCAGTCAAGTATTGGTCAAAAATTATTAAAAATTTCCAAATAGTCCAAACAATATACAGAAAAAGCACAAATTTTCCATTAAGAGATGTGTCAAAAAACAATTAAAAATCATATATTTGTCAAGAAAACTACAAAAAATGTAGGGTTTTTTAAATTGTTATAATCTTTGACTACTCAAAAAATATGCAGTCAACTGACCAGTCAACTGACTGGCTTGCCAACCCTAGTTTAAGGTAACGGCACATCACTTGCTGTTAGAACACAGACTTCAGTGCTACAGCTTCATACTTGTCCAGTGGGCTGCAGTGAAATGATTAAATTATTGTATATAGTACAGAATATGTGGAAAACCAGTAATTTTTATGCAAGTTCCAGAATGTTACATTATTGCATTTCAGCACCAACATCTGCATAATTTCCACACAGTCACTGCTTTGTCTTCCATGAAAAACAAACTCTTTCCAAGCAGATGCAAAAAGTCTGCTAAAGATTTAGTGTTATTAATGTTTACAGTATTTATTGTGGTGCTGCCTATTAATTACCACATGTAGAGCACACCCTTCTTCTCTGAGGTGTGGGCGTCTATTTAGAAAGATGCTTCTTGAAAAGGAGTTGACACTAATTCAGCATCACTGCTTTTCTACAGACTTCTGGGCTTGAATCTGCTCAAAAGCACCAGTGTAAATCGATGATAAACCCAGTAAAGAAAACAGAGTCATACTGGAGTCTTTGCCTTTGGCTTCTATTGTAATGTGAATTATTATTAATCCATTTGTCTGGAAAAGCATCAGTTACTTCGATCTGTTTCTGTTTAAAGACTCCTGCTGATCATGCCCTCCCCATGACACTGCTCCACCTTCTGATTTCTTCTCTATATGAATGGCAAAAAAAGACATCTTTGCTGCTGTGCTCCCACTTCGAACACATGGACCATGTGTTAACATGCTGGAGGCTGCAAGTGAGAGAGGAACACTGGAAAAAACCCTGGTCATACCCAGTTCACTCTCCCTTTCAGCCTCCATTCACTGCCACTGTATGACACGGGATAGTGGGCAAGATGGACCTATGATCTCACCCAGGAAACAGCAGGTCTTATTTCCTTACAGCCAGCAGGAGGCACTATGTTGTATGTGCATGCCAAGGAAAGACTGAGCATGGAGCCTCCCACTCAGTTTTGGTACCAGGGCCATTTGCCTTCTTGTTTGCTGTGGGCACACATTAAGGCTGGTCCTGAGGCGATTTCTGTGCACTTTATGGTACTTCAGTTTTACTTCTCATTTCTAGTTTTGTAAAATGTGACTGAGCAGGGGCTAATTTTAGCATCTTTCTATTCAGTGTGCTGCATTTAAACTGCAGCATCAAACAGCTTATCTGCCCACTTGGGAAAACAATAGATGTCTTCTATGCATCTATGTCTAACTGTTGGGACAGGGCCTGTTTTGGTTTTTTTCTCCTCACAAAGTCTATGCAGCAAAATGAAGTAGTTGTAGCACATGCTCCCATACCTGTGCACTCTTAATCCAGGTAGCAGAGGCAGCAGCAGCAGTGAAGATGCAGTGGAACAGATCTTAGCACATGCTTGCAAACAGGTTACAAAACTCTCCAGGGATTAGGGATATACTTGCAAGGTATGCCTACACTGCAATGACTGCAGCTCATGTAGACAAAAACAAGTTACCTGTGAACTAGCTAGCTGGATTACTGCTAGCAGTGTTAGCACGCAGTTCAGTGTGAGCTAATTGCCCAAATATTTACTCAGTTCTTGAATGAGCATTGCAGCCTACCCTAAAGTCCACACTGCTGTGGCTAGAATACTACCAGTACCCAACCCAACCAGTTTAAAGCTGGCTTAGGTAGGCTCACACTACTACTATTTTCTGTATCAGTACTAACAATGACTATAAAGCACTTCAGTGTAGACCCACCCTCAGCAGATGCAGAAACCGTAAACTACAGGTGAAAAACTGAAGGCACATAGCTCCATTTTAGCCTAGAGAGCGGCAGCTGTGTAGGCATGGGATGGAGAAAGGATGGAGACAGAGTGGCATTTTCAACTCCAATGTCCAGAATACTAAGGAAGTGCCAAAAAGTTACTTACTCAAATTGTCAGAAATCATAAAACAGTTGTCATCAAAGAGCAATGGCAAAAAACTTGGCCTGGCCCCTGGGAAAAAGGAGATGGCAGGGATAGTACAACGGTACCTCACAACCTGCCACTGAACCAAAAATGGAGAGGAATGGCAAACAGATATGGGCAATCTAACCCCAAACACGGTGCGGAACCTTACTGGTGACTAACACCTAAAGGCTCTGTTCCCCTTGCATAATTTGTCATGTCAGTAAGTCCCATTGAATCAAAAAGAACATCTGAGAGGATCCAGATGATGTTACCTCTAATCAGCTGAAAACATCTTTTGCCATTTAAATCCTTCTGCTTATCAGCTGGTCTGGAGCTTGTACTATGCCCCTTACTTAAAGAGTTTTGACTTTGGTGACACTTTTCATATACAAAATAAAATTGCTTCAAGGTCACTGAAATACACAGCAAACTCCCATTCATTTTAGTGGCAGCAGAATTGGAGACTCTTCCTGAAAGTAACCCCAGAGGTTTGGCTAAGAAACTTTAACCTGATGGTTTCCTTCTGGATGCCAGATCTCACACAGTTTCTACAATCTTGTTGACTCTAAAGTTACTAAAAGTAATGGCCTATAACGCTGGCCCTAATATTTAGATATAATTGACTTTACTTGCAGCACCTGGTCTGATCTGCTGTATTATATGTAAGACATGCTCCAAAGTTTTTAAAATCCACGTCTGGATAGAAAGGCAGAACCTTGGCTGGCGCCAACTGGCATTGCATTAAAGCACAGGAACTTTGCCACTGAGGATCTGACCTAGGTTTGGTATGAGCTGTGGCTCACACTTTTAAACCAGAGTGCCTAAAAATAGTCTTCAGCTAAAACAAAAATGGCTCAATTTTCCTTGTTTTGCATAAATCCTGTTGAAGTTAATGGGAGCTAAAGGGAAGAGTGATTTTGATGTTTAGACTTTTTTATTTAGATGCCTAAATATAGATTTAAGATTTTACCTTTTACACATCCAGATCTAAGAATATTCACCAGTGTCACTTTCACTTTACTTGCAAGACTGAAATGACAATATTAATTCTAACCATCTCTCACAGCAGAGGCTGACACTACAGTAGCTCCACCTGCTGGAAGATAAGAAAATAAATGTTTTCATTCAATACAATGTAGCTTCCAGGATTTAAATAGGTTACTTCAAATGATCTTACCATATTATTTTATCACCACTTCTTCAAACAATTCCTTTTCCTTTTGCTCATTAATAGTCCCTACACCCTCCCTCCTGCATTAATGTCCTTTGTGTTGTCTTGTGTTTGTCTCCATCCAATTTAGATTCTGAGCTCCTTGGAAATATTTTATCTTGCTTGTAAAGCCCTGTGTAAATTTACACACTATATAAATGTTTGATTATAATAATAATAATAATAATAATAACAATAATGTTCTTTTACTTTTACAAGCAGTTGATTCTGAGAGCTCTGTGTGAACCCAAGTGAGGAAAAATGTGTGGTCATGGAATAATTAGGGCTCTTAGTATTATTTATAATTAATCTAAAAAATGTTACTTTGTATATATTTCTCTATCAAAAAATGAAAGCACAACAAATCCTGTTCCTAAACATGGGAAAGGGAAAGGGCATCTGATAAAAACAGGAAAGCAAATCTACTTAAGTGAGACCTATCCATCCAAAAAGTCAAGAGTTAAATTGTGTTTGGGAGCCTTTCCTTATACATAACCATTTTTAAAAGTTTTTGATTATATTAATGAATAATAATATTTAGCATGCAGTGCTTGCAAGGCATTATGACCTTTTTGGAGCAGAAAATAGCTGTTACAATTGCTGCCTATCTTTCCTTTTTTCTTTTATTCTAATATTTTTGCTTCACCTTAATCTAACATCCATTCTTTTTTTTTTAGACACCATTTCTACAAGGTGTTTCAGCACATGCTTCACTTTAAGCATGTCAGTAGCTCCATTCAAGTCTATGGGACTGTACATATGCTAAAGTATCC